GGGGGGGGGGGGGGGGGGGGTTGAAAATCACTGGTCTAAAGATGACATGAAATTAATTTCCTTGCTGTTTTTTTAGTTTTAAGTGTTAAGCTACCTATTTCATTTTTTTTATTACAAAAAAAAGTTTTCTGTGGAAAAGGAGTAGAGAAAGGAGATAATGGTTTCCCCCCTGCTGTACATCTAAATCTAGTTTTATTTTTGACCCTCCTAGAACATTAATATCTTCTGTGCCTTGGGGGTTACACATTGATTGGGACCCTGCTGCTCCCTTTCTGTTGGTGTCTGGTTTGGTACTTGTGTGCTCATTAGTGGTATAAATCAATTTGTTGGACAGATCTGAGTGTAGTCTTCTCAGATTTGAAGGTAATAGGTGTTCAATTAGATTTTTTTTTTTTGTTACTTAAGCAAATTGAGACTTTCTCAAAACATTTGTCAAATTTGGTGTCTGAAAGACTTCTTTTCACACCAGCAACCACAGTAAGATTTTAATACTGTCAGACAATTTACGATGGCTGTGAATACTATTTTATGTCTCTTAAAAAATCAATTTACATTCTCCGACTAGGGTATTGCATTAATTTGAAAATGGTGTGCCACCATGCTCTGCATTCTAGCATGAATAACTCCTTTATGGAATTTTATACTTGCTGTCCTCGACCTCTGTTTAAAGCGAGGGGATGGACAAGTAAACTCTTGAATTTACATACAATAAAAGTATTGTGTCCAAAGAAATGCTTAGGCTACCTGGACTGATTTCTGTTATCAAACTTTTTCCTCCGAGTGGATCCCTGGTAGTATCCTGCCTTGTGTCAGACCATGTTATGATTTAGCTTTGTGGTCTTCATGGGTGGGAGGCCTGCCAGGTGGAGTTAAGCTTCAGGTGATGCAAATCCTTTGTGAAGGCAGTCTTTAAGGAAGGCTCGGTTTATCACAACATGCCAGACCAGATAAAGACTATCAAAGCAGTTGCCAGAGTTAAGCCCCTTTTATTGAACAGAGGGACATCCTAGTAGTGCCACCCATTGTGAAACAGGCCTATGGGCACTGTCCTAATAGATCAGTCTCACGGTGCGTCTTTCGGAGATCTGTATGGTAAGCCTTAAAGAAAATCTTTTGGAATATGTTACAACTGCAGTACTGATATATAAAAGAAGCTAAAGCAGATCTGCCTTATCAGATGTGGCATTATCTTTTGCTTCTGAGGCAACCAACACACCATTTTAACTAGCCTTTAAACTTCAGCAGCTGTTAGAAAATTGGGTTGAGGAGGGGAGGTGAAGTTGAATCATCCTGAGCAGTGTTGCTCCGAATTGGTTTTATTGCTGCAGTAATATACTTTGAAGCTCCAGGGTCCCAATCAATGTGTAACCCCCAAGGCACAGACAGAAATGACAGTTTTCACCCAATCTGGCCCCTGAAAGTGCACTACAGCCATGACCAAACAGAAGTGCATGGCTGCAAAGTGCTTTAAAGGGCCTGATCTGACAAAAATCAGAACCTTCTTTGTGCAAGGGTTTAGATGAAGACATTTCAAACAAGGCATTTTCAGTAACTAGTCTGCCTGGCCAGTTTCAGACAGTTAAGCAGAGAAGGATGAGGCCACTCCAGGCCCAGGAGAACCAAACTCAGGGAGCTGGACTAAGCAATGGCTCCCAACCTGCCTTGGGAGCTGGCAGGAAGTTGCTACCAGCCAATCGGATGATGTGGGTGAGGATAAAGCTCCTGAAAATGAG